CACAGGTATATCCACATAACAAAATTAATCAAATCATTCATTTAAGATTTGTGCATTTCAATGTATATAAATATCTAAAAAACTATAAACAAATGAAAATGCTAAAATCTATACAATTCTAAATAAACCTAAAAGATTTAATTATCAAAGGTACACTTGGTAAGAAGCTGTGACCTACTAAGATGGTTCTTCTACAATCTCTGAAACAAATTCACAAGTGAAAAAAAGGGAAAATGGCTGGATAACCCTTAACCTACACAGCATTTTTTCAAATGGCACAACTGCTTATACTTAGCAAGTTGAGTGTTCTTGGTGTAAGAACAGTCCCAGAGAAGCCCATTCCTTAGCATAAAAAAAAATATTTCCTTCTTGGAATATGACGGCAAGGAAAAGAAAATCCAGTTCCAGTATAAGCTTAGAATGGCAGGGGGAAATTGTAGTTATACCATGTAACAAATCCACAACTTCTTGAACTGAAAAAGTGGATATGAAAAACCATTCTTATACCACAGAACTTTATTTTTACTGTAAGTTAATTCCCCTCTCTATTCTCTGCTTTACTATATAAAAGAAATATAGAGACTTCAGAAATTTGGTCAAACAGAACAGAAAAGGAGTTTTTGTTTCTCCAATGTCAACTAGGGGTTTTCTCTGTTTCTGTAATGGATAAGGACTAAATTTCCACTTCCTATAAAGACAAAGGGATCATCACTAAGATTGGCCATGGCCAGGAATTCAACAATGAAATGCAAAATGCCATGTAGTTTCCATAGCCAAGTGAAGCAAGAATATTAATACTAGTCCTGTGTAAGTTGTTTTTGTATACAACATGGCTATATTTAATATCTATTATGGTTTTCACTTAAACTTCATCTTCAGCCTACATTTATATTCTTTCTTCAATCCTGCTCATTTTTAGCCAAACAACCTAATTTTGGCATACTGCTCCATCCTTTGAGCAGATGTTTTCTCTTGGTTTCCTAAATTGTGAAAAAGACTCTGCATTATGAAATGACCTAGAAAGTTTGTGTATAACAAAAATGAAGACTAAGCATTTAGTCAGAAACAACAGATTCCACTTTGGTCTTGCAGGAGAGTAAGTAAACCTACAGAAGTTCAAATCCACAAGACAGAAAGCAAGCTATCTTTAAAACATTGGCCTCTCTCAACTATTTGGCTAAGTTTATACAAGTTAATTTTACAAACAGAAGATTGGGACAATTTTCCTTTCTTCTGAGCCAAATGAATGAATCAAATTATATCAATAGTGCCCTCATTCTTTATATCAACCTTTTTAGTCTTCTTGGGAAACCCAAAATAATAGAGTAAAGAACATGAACTTTCTAAGTAGAAATCTGGCAGAATTTTGACTCTATTATATTGGGGAAATTATTTAATCTTAATAAGCTCCAGTTATCTTGCCTATAATTAGGTAATAGTGATATCTAGGATGGTATTATGTTTCATACACACACACAAGCATAATGTTATCTGAATGCAAGGAACAGTACTTGGTATAGACAAAGCACTACATAAACTGGAATTTGTTCAATCTGGCTCGTGAATAAAATGACAATATGTTCATCAGAGTCTTGCCCTCAGGTCATGAGCACCATTATTCCCCAGTTGCATTTGGCCCTCAGGATTTATGAACACACTGAATGAGAAAACACAAAATGACTATTTTCTACATTTAAATTCTAACTCATCATTTGGAATACTTACCAAATGCTATTCCTGGTTATTTAGTTACAAAGGAAATGCAGACATCAAAGACTATCATTGCATATTATTTAGTCACTGTAAAAAACAATTATAATCCCTCATTTTGCATCAATTCACAGTTATTCTCCAGAAAAAATACATATATCAAAGAAAACTACCTTGAACCAAGCTATTTATATAGGCACATCAAATGCTTTTTAAAAGACATTATATATTGAAAAGGCTTATTTGACTTAAGAAAATATAATAAATTTGGAAATCAGCAATCAAAGAACTCATTTTTGTTTCACATTAACAAATCAAGTATTTTAAAATGGGGGAAAGAATCTCTTAGAATAATTAAACTACAGAATGTGGTTTTGCTTATGACTCATTTTCCAGAAACCTAAGTAAAAAATTGGTGGGGAGGTGGGTAGGGCGTATATTTAAAATGATGATATGGTTCAATCGTTAAATGGAAAGAAATAAAAAATGTTAATGATTTATCTTATTGCATTTTTATATATCAGAGTCGCCTGGAATGTGATCCTGAAGTATGGGTGCTGAGGCATAACTTGCCACTTAAAAAAATAAAATAAGTATGTTGATATTTTTCTTCTTCTTACCATTGCATAAGTTTGAAAATCTGATATAGTGGATGGAAGATCACCATAACAATTTACTTGTTAAAGTGAATCAATGAATGTGCTTTAATTAAGTACACAACAGAAAATAGTCTTTTATTTCTTTAAATATACATGTTATTCATAATAGAATTCACGATATTCATTAAAATTTTTAAATTTCAAAAATCTAGTCCAATGAAGAAAATACACCACAAATATGAAAATAACTCCACTCACAAGCAAACTAATTTTGTTATGTATTTTTACATTAGCTCTTCATTAAAGTTCTGAAAAAAATGGAATTATTGTGCCTACTACATAGTTGCTATGAAATAACTGAAAATATTTTCTAAGGCATCAATTTCCTATAGTTCTGTAATATTTTAATGACCCTTCTCAACATTCCAAGCAACTCTTATAAAAAAATAAATATGAAGATGAAGTGCATTTAATTTTTCAGACAATCTATTTTGTCTTCAGATTAATTTATTTTGACAGAAAGACTTCAGTGCATATATGGGTTGACTTTAAATATAACAATCTACTTTTAAAGACTATTGTCAATGTTTACTTATAATCAAATATGATTAATTTACCAGTTGGCTCCTGGCAGTACCTCCAGTAATGGAAAATTATCATAAGCTAATATATCTTGATTGCAACAGCCTGCACCTTTATTGTCTGTTCAGATTCTTTTCACATCAGGTCAACAATGAAAAGCTGTCACAAACAGAAGTATTAGAAGATACACAATGGGGCCACTGCTTTCTGGAACAAATGAAATTTTCAATAACTCACAGGTAATTTGAGGGCTTCGATTATAAAATCTTTCAACAAACAATTAAATTCTACAAATTTCTTGTCATTTAACGGTCTGGTCAGTGTACACCTTAATGTGTATAAACCATAAAATAAATGTTTGAAGTCTTTGATTCATGAGGAAAACGGTTGGAAAACGTTTAAGCAAGAATAAACATCATATATTTATACTGTTGGATTCGGCAGCAGAGGCGGTTCTCAATAGGGTCAACACGTTCCAAATGGTGGGTTCCCGTCTCCTCTCAACCCATTCGTAAAGTGTCTTCGTTACGCAAAGGGATCACTCTGCTTGGTTAAAGACAACAGGCTGATGTTTAGCGTTAAATTGTTGTACATACAAACGAGAAAGCATCAGTCATCTTTACTTAAACAGAAAGCTTAAGCAAGATACTTAGGCAGAGGCACCTTGTAGTTGAAGGAAGCTAAGCTAAGAATGTGACTGAAATGTCCAATCAGAACGTACCATAAATGGGCACAACGTTCAGGAAAGCTCAGAGAGGGTTCTCCAAAACCCATGGGTAAACCAGTTGTGTGGACAGCAATACAGGGCTAGCATAACTCAGGGATGGGTTAAGCCCCAAGGTGTTTACTATTTCCCCCTGACTACTAGGTCCCCAACTGAAGAAAGGGGACTTTAGAGACCCTAACACTGGCTTTTCTTTTATCAACGCACTCTTTCCAAGCGGAATTTGCTCCATCCGACTCCGAAGAGAGCGGACAACCGCGATAAGAAACCAGAAAAGCCACGAGGATCAATACCAACACAAGGCTGAATCTTCCTCTTGACTTTTGTTTGCTCGGGTTTACATTTTAGACAGACACTCTCACCCTCCTTGAGGATCCAGGTAAGATAATGAATACCCCCATCTCTCATCAAGAGAGCCCCACGGAGGGTAGAGGAACCGAACTCAGTCTGCAGGACCGAGTCAGAGCCTCATCTCCGTGTGTGGCCGCCTAGATCTTCCCTTAGGTCCGGCACAGTTTGTGCTTGGAGCGAGGGAGAAAGCATTTTTCTCAATTCCTCCCGAGGCCACATTTTCTGTATAGACCCACCTGCATGGGAGCTTCGTGTCTCATTGTTCTCAAAATGTCCTTTCTTTCTGGCTACGACGGCGCTGGCCCGAGCGCCCGGTCAAGCGTGCACAGCCGGCGCGCTCCACGCTCCACGCTCCACACTCTGCACTCTTGGGGTTCGCTAACCGGCTCCAACATCAGCACCGGAGCTGTCCCCTCCTGGCGCCGCACGCGCGTAATCGCCGGGAGCCCCGTGCGCTCCTGGGAGTTGTAGTTTTGTCCTGCGGAGCTTTTCCACAAACCCGTGAGCGGTGAACTACAGATCCCGGAGAGGCAGCATTTTAAACACGCTGCCTTCTCCAATAGGACTCGGCCGCGGAGCCTCCCTTCTCCTTTGGAATACCTCCTAGTTTATTACCGCTCTCAGCCTTCCAGCCCATTTCTTTGCAAGGTACAGGCGAAAGCGACCCCAGCTCACCTCAGCTGGAGACTTTTCTTCTCTACTTAACGCATTCCGAAGCTAGATTGTGATTACCTAGTTAGGAAACGCACCATCTTGCGCTTATTCACCCAACAAACGAAACCTGCGCTGCGTTCTGGGACTGTCCCGCCCTACACCTCTCCATCTCAATCTGGAAACTTTTTACAATTCCATAGGCAGAGTGGGGTGGTTTTACAATCTCATTCAACAAACGCGGGGAGAAGGATCATGAATAGCACACATAAAGTGGTTTACTCGTACAATTTCATTGAGAAGGCGCTCGCGCATACACACACCAAAGTCCCGTCAAAGCGAGATTTCGCGCAAAGCCTACATAGGATCTCCCTTCAGCTTACCTTCCCGTACAGCTCCATTGCAACTCGAGGTTCCGAAATTCTCAATAATCTCTCCGGCTACAAATGAGGTCAGGGTCTTACGCAGGAAGCGAAGCTAAATGCACAACACAATGGAAGGGTTTGGGGTGGCGGCTGGCGGAGGGAGAACCGTTGGTTGGGGGAGCGGACAGCTGATGTAGATAGATGGCTTCTTTCCTCCTGAGGGGAAGCGTGGAGTCCTTAAGTAGCAGCTGCAGAGAAACGGCTGAGTCTCTTAGGAAGTGCCAGGGTCACGGTCGCGCTGGGCAGCTCCTCCCCAGACCCTCCCCCAGGCACCTTTCACCGTCATTAGAGAACACACACTGTCGCTGCTGGCCGCGGACTGAAAATTTGATAGAGCATTGGGGTTATTTACCCAAAGCAAGGCACATGAAATGAACGCATTCATCACCAGAACCCAGAAGCACCAACACAGAATGAGATAGGAGACCTCTATTAAGTTATCCTGTCCTCTCGTTAACAGAGAATCATTTCTTACACGACAATCATACTACTCCCAGACTTGTTCAAAAATGGTTTTGAAATCTGCGAATTGTACTTTTATTACACGTGTCTTTTCCCTTCGGTTGGTTAATATAAGTGACCTATCTAGGGACACTCGTCTCCCCTTCAAAATTCATCAGTCTGGTAATGATTCTTGCCTTTCGCATGAGGTCAAAATGATTTTATTGGAAGCAGAGGGGAGAGAGAATGGCTAAGAGGCATGAAAGTAATAAATTGAATCAGCTTTAAACTTCATTGCATTAGACAAAGTAGTAGAACGGAGGCTCTGAAACTTATAAATGTGCTTGAAAATCTCTTGGGGAAGGTGTTTAAAATTCGTATTCTCAAGACATAGGTAGAAATTCTGAGTCTTTATATGTGATGAAGTGTCTGGGAATTAGCATTTTAAACAAACACTCCAACAATTCTGATCCAAATGGTCCTCTGCTATACTTCGAGAAACACTGCCTTAGAATTTACATGTAAGAATTTGTCTCAATAATGCAACAGCAATGTATTAGGAACCTACCACATTCAAAATGCCCCATAAATTTTAGGTTGGTTTTCGATTTTCTTAAGAAATCTAAGATCCATCTTCTAATCTTGTAATCAGTGAAAATGTAATGCCAAGTCAACTAGGTAAATAATTTTAAAAAGTTTTTATTAAGGTATTATTGATATACACTCTTATGAAGGTTTCACATGAAAAAACAATGTGGTTACTACATTTACTCGTATTATCAAATCCCCACCCATACCCCAATGCAGTCATTGTCCATCAGTGTAGTAAGATGTCACACATTCACTATTTGCCTTCTCTTTGCTACACTGTTTTCCCCATGATGCCCCACACCATGTATACTAAACATAATACTCCTCCATTCCCTTCTCCCTCCCTCCCCATCAGCCCTCCCACACCCCTCCCCTTTGGTAACCACTAGTCCCTTCTTGGAGTCTGTGAGTCTGCTGCTATTTTGTTCTAGGCAAATAATTTTTATAACTACTCTATAACATTTAAAAATTCTCCCCTCATAGTTGAGGTTATGTGATGGTTAGAGCAATTTCATTTAAATTAGCTAATAACAAATAAAATGAAAAAAATAGGGAATCCAATATTAATATGCTTTTGTGGTAGCAACTTATTAGAAGACTTATGTAATTTTTTAAAAAGATCTATATAAAGTGTATCTCTTCATAAATTTTTTCTAAGAGATACCAACAAAATAATACTGATACCCAATGTATAAAATTATCTAGAATTTAATAATGAAAATTTGACACGTAATATATATAATTATCTGGCATTTAATAATGAAAATTTGCACAGCTACTTAGAACATTTTTCTTTTAATAATTTCCTGCAATTTTTTTACTATAATCACCTGAAATTCTCAGAATTCAAAAAATCTGATATCACCGATCATATTTGTATACTACAAATGTTGAACTGTTACAGATTTACTGTTCTTTGAGAAGTTCATCCTTCTTTAATACTTTACTAAAAAAATACACCTCATCAGTTTTCTGGTGTGTGTTTTATTTGTGGAAGAACCCATGAAAATTGAGTTGTAAAAAAAATAATAAAGTAGTGAAAGTTTTTGGGGAACAAGATTCTGCCCTGTTTCTCATGCCTTAGTTGGGTATTTAAATAGATGGAGGGAATAAAAAAGCTAACCAAGGATCAACTAAACAAACAAAAATGGACAAGAGCTGATTATCTCCCTAAAATCAGAGGAAGAGCACTTGAGCTTTGCTTGAAATCAGGCCACCATCTATAAGTTTAATTCCCAAGGTCACCAGATGGCTGCTGGAGCTCCAGTTCTTATATCCACATTCCAGTCAGCAAGAAGGATGAAAGAATGGAGAAGGACATTCCTTCATCCCTACCCTCATCCTTTAAGTTCACCAGGGATCCTAGACTTCACAATGCCTAGAACTTAATCTTAGCATTATACCTAATTGCAAGGGTGGCCAGGAAATGTAGTCCCTATTGTGGATGAACATATGCCCGGCCAATAATCAGGAATTCTGTTACAGGAGAAGGGAAGAACAGGTATTGGGAGACAGCCAGTATCTTTTCCACAGGGCATCAAGAGGACTGCAAGATACAGTTTGCTGTTTTCTCCCCTTGGCAATTTTGCTGAAATGTAGATATCCATTTTCAAATTTACCCATTCCCAGTGATCTCTGTAACTTAATAGCAAGTGGAGCCTTAAAATCAATGGATTGCCCAAGAGTCAGAATATTCTGGCTCTTATTAAAGAAACAGGGAAAAGGGAAACTTCCATTTACATATAAATATGTGGTTAGGAATTGATATTAAATAGATTTTAAAAGGCAGAATATAATTAATAGAAGGCAAAAGGGCCACCAATGAATGTCATGGAGTGTGTAAATGAACACCTCCCCATATTAGAACGTAGAGCAGGCTCAAAAGTCCTGAGGCCCACAGAAGGTGAATTACCCAGCATCACATAGGTCATAGAGGGATAAAGCTGGGGTGAGAACTCTGACATCTTTGTCTTTGTGTTCAATTCTCTTTTCTTTCACCCACATCACTATTCATTATTGATTTGCTTTTTGCTATCTTGTGTTTATCTAATCACTAATACTCATTTTGTTGTGTATATTTATCTAGTTTATTTATTATTCACTTTGTTGTTATCATTCCATGTCTTTGTTAGCTCTTCCAAACAGGAACATTCCATCAAGTAGGGTCAAATGGGGATAATTTATTTGGCTAAAACAGAGTCAAGAATCTGGGAAATTAATTAAGTATTAATTACTAATGATGATGCTGGTAATATCAAAAATAGCAATGAACATTTTGTTTCCATCATTGTTACCATCTCTCTATTAAGACTTACACTGAAAAATAAAATGACTGAGACTTGATGTAAGAGATAAGGATGCTACTGGGGATTCATCTCCTCCCTCCTACCAGCCTTACTCAAACCGACAGTGCAAGGATGTGGCTGGCTATCTAATCCTAAATATATCTAAGACCATTTCCAGTCAAGCAGGAGGTTTTTCTGGACTGAACCCTGTTACCTTTGTCTGACTCACTGTGTTTGGGCTGGCTTTGATTTCAACTTTGTGTAGCATCCGTATCAAGAGGTGCTATTGATTGTCTCCTGTTCCCTTTAGAAGAAATTAAATATTTCCATGCTGATTTCTTTCTAATTAAATGGAAAAATCATTTTAACTAATTCCTGCTCATGATGTTTCCAACCTTATATGTAATCAATATAAGTAAGGTGCTTTGTAAAAAAATAAATGCACTACAACTGAATGAAAAGGAAATGTTTTCTTTTATAATATAAATGATACTATTAATGATAGCTAACCTTTCCTTCAGCACCTACTCTGGGGTAAGTACTCTGTCTATATTTTTCCATCTAATCCTCAACAATATTGCAAGGTAGTATTATTAACCTTATTTCACAAAGAAGAAAATTCATAGAGAGATTAAGTGTTTTCCTTATGGATACCTAACTAGAAAGGTGTGGGCCAGGATTTAAAGCTCAGGGTAATCTGAGTCCAAAGCCCAGACTCCTGCCTATAGTTTTTCTCATAAAAAGTAGTGTTGCTTAAACACAATTTGTTTTATAATCTCTTACAAAGAAGCTTTCCTGGACGTTGTTGTGGTTAATATTGCTTGGGAATGAGGATACTACTTACAGTCATCTCATGGGGCTCCTGGGTCACCTATATCTTTTCATGTAACACTTTTTAATTTGAAAACTGTCAACCTTTTCAGATAAATAGTGATTCATTTGATTCACTAAGAATATTATTTAAGGAGCTTTGTATCAAGTTCAGATATTTTGGTGAAGTGTATATATTTCCAGCTCATAGATGACAGTTTTAAAATAAACAGATTATAATTATGCAAATTATGAGAGAAACAAAAATGTACTAAACAATAATCGCCACAGTTCATACAAAGTCCTTATTCAGCTACAGGTTTCGGATTGGTATTCTTAGGTAAAGTTTATGTGACCTACATCTTTATTAAGTCTTGGAGTACTTCCAAAGAGAGAGATATCATTATCTTTTTATAAAGTAATTACTTTTGTAAAGCTATTACAAATTTTGCAAACAATTTTATATTTAACTAAAGACCCAACTTAACTATAAGTTTTCTCCCTTTAGGCTTCTGACCTGTCAAACAAGAGTCAATCCAACATACTGACTCTTGAGAACAGAGGGGGTCCCTAAGCAGTGTCTCTTAGAGAAAACTTGAAACAGTATGGAGTGTGTGTGTGTGTGTGTGTGTGTGTGTGTGTGTGTGTGTGCGCGCGCGCACGCACGTGGGGGCTGGGAGTGGGAGTTTGGGGGCAAGATGGAAGAGCATCCTGTTGGCATCCAGTCAGACTACCTATGACAGTCAGCCTACATGCCTTCAGTAGCTGGGTGCCTAGAGTTACTTGCCCATAACTCTAAGCTAAATTTATACCTCAGGGCCAAGTCCAACTAAGAAGAATGAGGTGCATGACAAATACCTATATCCTGAACTTCTAGACCATTTAAAAAATGACAGACTAGTACACTAAGAAGGGATCTTACAGGTATTCTAGCTCAATCCTCCCATTTTATGGATAAGAAATTAGATCCCACAAAAATGAAATGTCCTGCTTAAAGCCCCACAGGTAATCCAATGCTATTGAAAGTCTCCAACAAATATTGGAATAAAGACTATCCTGAAAGTATGTTACAACTTATCAACATAACCAATTTATATGCATATCGATAATTTTCATTGAATTATTTGTAGGTTTACACATTATAATTTAAAATCACTGGCAGAACTGGACAG